CTGAGTACGTTTGGCATGCCATCTCATCGTTGCTGCCATATTTTCAGATTTATATAATCTCTTCAGACTATCAGTAATAAGTAAGTACCACATCCACTGGTACGATACTTTATTCTGTCCACGTCCTTGCGATTTATATCCTGGCTTCTTACAAAATCTATACTCTAACAATTTTGCTTCTTTCTTCCAGTAGATCATACAGTTGTATACACAAATTTATCATCTCTAAACGTAAGCGAAGACAATGAACCAGTTTCTGAATCTCATAGTAAAATTCATCACACACATTATCTTCAGGCAAATACTCTTTAAACAACTGATCTTATGCATTAATACAAACTTCAGGTAAGTTATAATCAGTTTTGTTATTCATCATTCTATCTGCTAATGATAATTTAGAAATATCTTCTCAACAACTTTCATAAATTGGTTGATTAGCTGCGGATAACATCTCATAAAATCTTTTTGCTTCAAAGTTAGGGTCCTCTACATTTTCTACTACCTCAACATTTTCTACTTCTGCAATAGTTACTTAGGTTGTTTCATGAAATGCATCTGTAACCATATCAGGCATATTGCATCCTATCATGATTACCACTTTATCCTCCTGAGGGTAACTTTCAGAAGGCAAATGTTGTTCTTTATTATGAACATTTTCAAACTGATTACTTATATTAGTTTCATTCGTACTATCACATTACCCATGATGAAACCAAATGTAGAAATGTGGGGGTAAATCCTCTATTTACTATATGTTCCAAACCGTTTCATTAAGAGAAAATTTGGTATTCTTGCACTTACGATATGGATAGAACATTTTATCCATTTTTTGCGTGAGTGACGTTTCCAGCCTGGTACATGAATATCTCTGCCTCGTTGAGGAATTCGTTTGTCACTCTTTCCGCAAAATCTTTATGCCCATAAATCCAACTCTGAAGCTCATAAATATCTCGAGACATTTTTTTACTCTTATATAGTTTGTTGTGTATCTTAAAAATAAGAACTAACAACATATTTATAGGAAAATTTTTATTCAATAGGTGGGAATGTTAAAAATAATTTACTACGAATCAACTATTACGTATGCATAATTTAGTCGTCAACTAGATGTAAAAGTATTTGTCGTAAATAAGAGGTAAAGTAGTGACTTCTTTACGAAGACTACGAAATTTTGTCGTAACGTAGTCATTCATTTACGAATTTTTTTACGATGAAACCTTTTCATAGGAATTTTGCGTCCAATTTACGATGATTCTTGTTTTCGTTGTTATATAGTCGTTACATAGACGTAAAATTATGACTACACATATGTAGTCGTAATATGCAGTTGTTACACCCACGTTTTCTTGTAGTGCAATGGTATTTCATTTTTTGAAGATGGATTTTTTATTTACAAAATAATCCTTAACTTTAATTTATGATTATTTTGTACTTAAACAAATTAGAAATGTTAATGTCATACAATTAATTTTACAGTTTATATTATTACTTTCATATAATTAAATGTTAATAACCAAGAACATAAAATTATTAATTTCCAAGAATTTCATGTTCAGAATTTAGGATAAAATAAGTTCATTACTTGTTTCAAAATACTTTGGTTTTTATAGCTTCACATAACCACAAAACCTTAACAACCTATATCGGACCCTTAGAAGAATTGTGAAATTTGAGGAAAACTATTAAATGTTCATACATAGAAAACTCATAAAGATTATTGACTATACATTTTGGGCTTCCCTTAAGAATCCTTAAATTAAATGCCCAAAATTAATGGTTTACACAATGTTCTTTGACCCTTTTATGCTATGTCCTTTTGTTACTAAGCTTATACTTTAACTATTGCTGGGGTTTGTGGGTCATTCCACCATGCATAAAAGCCCAAAAAGCTTAAAAAGTCTTTTGACCCGTTTAGGGCTGGGTATTGAAATACAAGTCCAAAACTTTCGCACACTGGTCCGACCTACTTTAAAACTTGTAAAACCTATTGATATTTATGTTTAACCTAGTCTAGTACACAAAATTTTTGGGTTTATCTTTCAAAGCCCATTCTTGTTCTAAATGAGTTAAAGGATTACTTTAGAACTTTTAGAACTTTTACGAAATATAAATTTAAATTAAATACACTAAATTAAAATTAATTTAACTTCCAATTTAAACCATCATCTTTATGTTTATAAAATCTAAATTATAAAACTTTTTTACCTAATAAACCAAATAAACACTAATATTGAATAGAAATAAACAATTTTTTTCAATATTTATCAATGAGAATTCGGCCAAAAAAAGCACCAACTTTGCACGAATGGCCAAAATAAATCTGTACTCGAGTCTGGCCAAAAGAAACCTGGACTTTTGTTGACTTTATTAGTTTATTAAGAAACTTACGATTGACTCGCCATTTTAACACACCGTTAACAAACCGTTAAGACGGTGGTAAGTCGGACGTTAATTGTTGCCGTTAGGATGAAACGACGTCGTTTTAAGCTATTTGAAAATAAAAAACGTAGACCACTGGAATCGAACCCGGGTTGATTGGATTAAGTGGCAAGGTCGTTTACCACTAGGATAGTGGCACATTCAATGTATCTACTAACACATTTAGTTATATTTGGTACTGACTGAATATTAAAAAAATTCTATAAAAACTTTAAAAAATCTTTAAAATTTCAAAACAAATGAAAAATAAAGAATTTTTTTATAAAATTAATTTTGTAATTAAAATTAAAATAAAATTTTATTTTTCTTTAAAAAATCAGACGGGAACTTATAAAATTTATTTTTCTTTTAATGTATCTATTAACACATTTACTTATATTTGGTACTAATTGAATATAAAAAAATCTATAAAAACATTAAAAAATCTTTAAAATTTCAAAAAAAAAATGAAAAAATAAAGATGTTTTTTATAAAATTAATTTTAAAATTAAAATATTTTTTTTTTCTTTAAACTAAAATTTTGGAAGATTTTTGATTTTTTAAAGAAAAGAAAAATTATTTTAATTTTAATTTTAAAATTAATTTTATAAACAAACTCTTTATTTTTTCATTTATTGAAATTTTAAAGATTTTTTAAAGTTTTATAGAATTTTTTTTATATTCAATCAGTACCAAATATAAGTAAATGTGTTAGTAGATATATTGAAAGAAAAATAAAATTTTAAGAGTTCTCGTCTGATTTTTTTAAAGAAAAAAAATTATTTTAATTTTAATTTCAAAATTAATTTTATAAAAAAAACTCTTTATTTTTTTCATTTTTTGAAATTTTAAAGATTTTTTAAAGTTTTAATAGAATTTTTTTTATATTCAATAAGTACCAAATATAAGTAAATGTGTTAGTAGGTACATTGAATGTGCCAGTCCACTGGCCCAGTGGTAAACTACCTTGCAATTTAATCCGATTAACCCGGGTTCGAGTCCAGTGGTCTACGGCTTTTTATTTTAAATCGCTTAAAACGACGTCGTTTCATCTCAATTGAAAACGACGTTGTTTCATCCTAACAGCAATAATTAACAACGTTAATTTTTTCTGTTAAATTTGTTGACGGCGTGCCAAATTGGCAAGTCAACAAAAACTTTGTTAATTAATTCGAAAGTCAATGAAAAGTTTATGTTTTTTTTGGTCATGCCAAAAGTTCAGGTTTCTTTTGGCAATTCGTGTAAAGTTCGTGTTTTTTTTGGCCGAATTCTCATTTATCAATTGAAAGTGTAAGATCAACATTATAATGTTCATCTTTAACTTCCACATTCACGTTGTCATTAAAATGTACATATAAAATATACAAATATTAAATTTTGACATATATCTATAGAAAATAATATTTAATAAATATTAATATATTTCTGAATCAGAGATTGTAAATCTTTCCAACCAAATATATGTACAAATCAATTTTCAACTTATTTTGATAGGAGAAAACTTTTAAATTTGTTAAGGGAGAAAACTTTTAAATTTGTTAAGATATGGACATCAATGATAAAACTAAACTTTGACGTTATAGTAAATCTTCGAATTATATATTTGTTTAAAACATAAACACTAAGACTATATTTATTTAAGAAATAAAGATCAATACCAAATAATTAAATAAATTAGAATATTTTTGAACTGGCCTAACCCAAATGAACTTAAGTACAAAATAGTTAAAACCTAAATGGACTAAACTGGAAAGACCTTTTTTAAAGAGTTATATAATTAAGTCCAAACTCACTAATTTATAGGTTGAACGGATTCGAAACTGTGGGCGTCAGTCCTAATTGACACTACGGACCATGGATAATAACTTCAACTATTCGCTAACGGAGACAATTAAGAGCATCCCTATTAAAGGTTTATAGAGGGTTTTACACAGAAACCAAGAAAAAAAAATATGATAAATCTAGTGAACCCGTGTGAAGGGTCATTGGGATGAATCCGGATTAACACTGTTTTGCGGGCTACACGTCATATGATGACTCGTGATTGATCTATTATTAATTTCTTTTAGTTTAAAAAAGCAAACGATTTTTTTTTTCTGTGAAGCCCTCTTCCATCGATTCACTGATGGGGGTGCTCTAAGGGGTGGACGCTACAATTTAAGATTAATTATTTTAGAAAGTAAGCAATTGCGCAATTCAAATTCGTCAACTTATCCACGTGGAGAACATTTAAGCGATCCGTTAACGGAGACATCTACGATTGGAAGCTCTGATTAACAATTCTAACGGAGACATCAACGACTGGAAGGTTTGATTAACAATTTTAACGGTCGTTTCATTTGTTTATTTTTTTGAATTAATTATTTTAGCCAATTAATTTCCAACATGGACCGTACCTGCCCCAACGGCTTAGATTGAGTTATACAAACCAACGGTTGAGATTAAATCTGTATCCAACGCTATTATTTAGAGGTGGCTGAAGAAGTCTTTTAATTTTCATCTCCGTTTCTCACTCATTCAAGTCTGAACCAGAAAAGAGTTTTAGGGTTTTTGTGGAGGTTTCAAGGAAGTAAAGTGTTACAATGGCGGAAGAGCACAAACACGAAGAATCAATCATGGAGAAGATAGCTGAGAAGATCCACAGTCACGATTCCTCTTCTTCTTCTTCAGATTCAGACGACGATAAGAAACATGCGTCTCCTTCGTCTATCAAGACGAAGATTTACCGCCTCTTTGGAAGAGAAAAGCCTGTTCATAAGGTCTTCGGTGGCGGAAAACGTACGGATCTCGCTTCTCCTGTTTTTTTTTTATCTGCTGTTTGGTTTTTGTTTCGTCTTCTGTCTGAACTTTGAGGCATAGTGTTGTTTGTTGGTTTTACTTGTCGGATCTGGAATTTAGTTGTCTGAATCTGAAGTGTTGTTAAGTTACTGTAGATTGGTGTTGTTGTTAGATGTGGTGTATACAATAACTACATAGAAGAATTATTTGATTTGTTATTTATTTGGTATCTAATATTATACACCTGAGAAGATCTGTGTAATGAGTCGTTAATATTTTTTGCTTCATTGATTTTGATTCAGCTGCTGATATATTCCTATGGAGGAACAAGAAGGTATCAGGAGGAGTGTTGGGTGCTGCAACACTCTCCTGGATCTTATTTGAGTTACTTCAATACAACCTCCTCACGCTTTTTGGCCACGTGTCGATTCTTGCTCTCGCTGTATTGTTCTTGTGGTCTAGTGCTACTACCTTCATTCACAAGTAAGTTTCAGAATGGTCTTAATGTTCACTGTTTTAGTTTCAATGGTGGCCTGATTATTTCCATTGTACAGGACGCCTCCTCATATCCCTGAAGTTCACATTCCCGAGGAAGTCGTTCTCCAGCTTGCTTCTGGACTAAGGATTGAAATCAATCGCGGTTTTACCATTCTTAGGAACATTGCATTAGGAAGAGATCTCAAGAAGTTCCTTATGGTAAACCTTTTTTGTTCAGCATTAGAATATTAGATTGTTGGTTTCTTATTTTCAACATTGGTAACACTAATCTTGTTTTCAGGTTGTTGCTGGTTTGTGGGTTTTGTCCAAACTTGGTAGCTCATGCAACTTCTTGACCTTGATCTATATCGGTAAATAATTCATACAGTCCCTTGTTGCATCTAATTCATGCTATGTTATCTAATCCTCTCTTCTCTCTGATGTTTTCAGCAACTGTTCTTCTCTTCACCGTTCCCGTCCTCTACGAAAAGTATGAGGATAAAGTAGATGACTTTGGGGAAAAGGCAATGAAGGAGATGAAGAAGCATTATACGGTGCTGGATGAGAAGGTTTTGAGCAAGGTGATGAGCAAAATCCCGGGAGGAGCCTTCAAGAAGAAGGATTAGAAGAGTGTGTAAGTTTCTCTCAGCATCATCATCTGAGTCTTCCAGATTGTTATATAAATCTCGAAGCATTGTTTTTTGACTTATTATTGGAAGCTGTCTTGGTTAATAAACCCTTTTGGTCTCTCAATTATCTGCTTTGTGGGTTTTATTCGGGGTTTTAACCAAATTTTATACAATAGTATTCGATTTGAATGAAATCTGATCGTATATCGTAGGGCTCGGTGTTTTTACCCCAACCCAAAGTACCGACCTAAACCTGAACCGAAAAAATCGAATCCGAATCCAAACCATTATACATAACTAACCGAATGGGACTTATGAACCTAGTACTTCAGACTTTGGGTATAATCCGAACCGAACCAATCAGATTTTGAGTATAACCCAAATCGAACCAGGATCCGAAGGTATTTGAAATTAGTTAAATATGTTAATATTTTATATATGTTAAGGTGATTTAGATAGTTTATAATATTCTAAATATTTTCATAGTCTATGTTATATGTTATTTTGAATATATTTTTAGCTAATTTAGATAGTTTAACTAATTTTTAATTATACTTGTGAATAATTTACATATTTTGAATATTATTTTGTCAAATTTTTAGGTTTTAAAAAAATATTTTGGGACGATTTCAGACATTGGTTATAATCCGATCCGAACCGAACCCGAAAGGAACCGAACCCGATTCGATTATTAGCAAAAACCGAATAGTACTTATGAGCACAATATCGAAAATCTAAAAATCTGAATCAACCGAACCGAAACTTATTGGGCCACCGAACGCCCAGGCCTAGTATCACGTCGTCTCCTCTGTTATGGTAAATAATCTTTGAATTTGAATATTTCAAACTTAAATTTGCTTCCTTTTGCCACTGTTTACATGCAATCTCGATGGATATGATAGATTAGTATGAAAAATCTTTATATAATACGAAACGCGATGGCATAATGGAGTTCGTCTTTCTCTCTATGTAAAAGACATGACAATATCAGAGACGATATTGCTTATTGTTCTGGTCTCGCACTCCACTCTATGTATATATATAGATATGATGCTTAAGTAGTTCAAAATTTGGAATTAAAGTGTATATATACTAAATTCGGTTTTTATAGGTGCATGTATATCAAATGTAAGGGAACTTATGAACATTAATGATATATGTAAGAGTCTTGGAGCATCATGTCAACCAAAGCTGGTCCAACCAATTTTTTTTTTTTTTTGAGAATTGCTTTAAAGATATAGTGATTGCAAAAACAGTTGTTTTGAATCATCAAAATTTCTCAAATGTACTAATCACCAATGTGATTGCAAAAATTGTAAGAAACTATGCTATACACTTTGTTGTTTCTTAGTTTTCTATGTCTTTTAGTAGCACAATTATAAAATGATCAAATCATTAGTTTACTTATGTACAATAATGTTTGATATGATGCATGAAATTTTGTTGCTCTCAATTTTTTTTTACTATTTTTTTTTTCAAAATATGATTACAAACTAGGCTATGACCTAAGTCATTCAGTTTTAAAAATAGTTTCTAAAGTTCAATGATCATAAATGAACAATAAACTGCCAAAACATTACTTTGGTTGACTTGAGAAAGAGGTAGGTGTTGCTTCTATCTGAGTCTTCCTCTATTTTCTCTCCTGCGAGACGTGGATTGCAATTCCCACTCCATACCTTTTGCCGCAGGTTTAACATGTCTTTTTCGAAGGACTCTTTTCCCTGAAGGTGTCAAAAGATCTATGGGATCAGAACTTTCGTCCAAATCCAGTTGATATTCTTTTTCTCTTTTTAAGAAAGTTAAAGAGGCGAACTTATTTGAGAACCATGTTGAGGTTTGATTGACTTTGTCTGATGCTTCGTTGGGGCAGACTCTATAGGTGGAGAATCAGTTATTTCATTGTTACAAATAATTGTTGGTGACTCGTACAAATTCTCTAGCACTGAAATAGTGGCCAAAGATACTAGGTAATCCACATCAGCAGAATTAACCACGGTTTTTAAGATAACATTGGTTCTCCTAGTCCTGAGGCAATCCATTCAATTCTAGGATGGAGTATAGAGTGCTGGGATGTTTTTAAGCTTGTCTCAATCTGGAATTGAAGTAATTTCAGGGAGGGCTAATGATTCTGAGAAATCCATAGAACAACAAACATGATACAATCATCCACATGCCATAAACCATGTTGGAGTACAAATTTTCTAGTAGCCTCATTTGGGATGCAGAAGATATAATAGAATTCACTTAGCTTCCTGATGAAAATCTGACATTTTCTACCCCAAATCCTATTTAGAACAGCATAAACCAAACCACCAGATGGCACCAAACAACAATAAAACTGTCCTATCACATATTCCTTATGAATTTGTAAACCATGAAGTAGGACGTGATCTGGAAACGTTACCTTAGGAGTGTCATCCTCCATATATTCTGGCATTTTTCCGCGATGGAGGTTCCTTTCTTTGAGGGTTCACTCGAGCAGCTCATATGAATCCCATTTTACTAAAAACTGGCTAACGTTTCTTCTTTCAGATTATTTGTTCTCAGATGTTACTTACTCAAGTGAATAATCAACAGAGACAAACAAGAGTGATATATCAATCATAATTTTTTTTGTTCCCGACAATCAGTTCAGTAAGTATCTTGTAAACAAAGAGTTCAATGATCGACACCCCATTACGCTCATCGCATGTATCTAGGCCTGGGTTCGGGCCCCCGGCGGGTTCGGTTCGGTCGATTCGGATTTTTGGTACTATGCTCATAAGTCTCATTCAGATTTTACTAATTATCGGGTCGGGTTCGGTTTGGTTCATTCTAAGTTTGGTTTGGATTGGATTATAACCAATGTATAAAATCATTTAAAAATATTTTTTTAAAACTTAAAAAAATTACAAAAAGTATTCAAATTATGTAAATTATTCACAAAACTAACTAAAAACAAGTTAAACTACCTAAATTAATTATAAGTTATTAAAAATAACAAATTAAATAAATTATTAAAATCTCTAAAATAATCAAAAACATCTAAATTACCTTAACATATATAAAAATAGTAACATATTTCACTAATTTTGGATATAGTCGGATCCAAGTTTAGACTTCGGTTCGGTTTGGGTTGTACCCATACCTCAAAGTACCAAGCTCTTAAGTCTCATTCGGATATTCTTATATAACGGTTTGGATCCGGTTTTGATTTTTTTGGTTCGGTTTAAGGTAGGGAGTTCGGTTTGGGGTAAAAACGCCCACGCTTACATGAGTCTTTGGGATGATGGATCCGGTTTTGATTTTACACTAATATATTCTATACAGTGAGATTACATGTGAAATCAATGGCTTTGGAAAGAAAATTTAAATGTGGAACAAGATTTTTACTTTTATCTTTGTGTTTTTTTTGTAATGATATTTGTGTTTAATCATTTATTAATAATATAAAATAGTGTTATTAATATAAATGAATAATACATGAGTAATAAATAGTTGGACCAAATATTTATTAATTGTAAAAAAAGGATAGAGTAGGTAAGATGCATATATTTTAGATATCCAAACTAATGAAACTGATAGTACGTTAACAAAAGATCATCGGATAATTATATTCCTTTCACTTGTATTAACAAGATTGATAATCTCAGGATTCCAAAAAACCGAGATTGTTGTAGTTATGTACTTTTTTTTTTTACATTTGGATGCTCTGATCCACACTTGGTTTGCCTAATTTTATATTTCGAATTTTTACACAGTATAAATAAACAAAATTTGAGAAACAAAAAAATACAATTTCCACATCGACTGTGTACATGGGACTTGTGTTGTTTATAAATGTTTATTGAATGACATCCTGGATAAAACTGAAATTTTGGGCTCATATTCTTAAGATCAGATAACACTGAACTTTGAACCTACCGAAACGACTAAATCTTAGACTACTCGCTGAAAGTTATTTTATGATGTTAAAGATGAAAGTAACAAATCGCTGAAAAAAATAACCAAAGTATAGGAAATTACCATGCTGCATATAATCTGTTGCTTTCGCTTTATACTCTTAAGACGGAAAACTATATGGAAAGGAAGAGAAGTCGTATTTCTGATCCAAACCTTAGCCAGCATTTTTTTCTCCTGAATACTTGCTGATCCCCCAAACTATTAACAAAATAGCTGACGAGTGATGAAGTGTGTGTAACCATGCTAAGCCCTTGAGAGATTTGAAATCGCTAATATGCAATAAGAAACTGGCGAGATCCATTGGATTGCTACAACGAACCAGGTCAGTCTGATGGGTACATTAACTTATTTATATGAATCCATTTTACTAAAAACTGGTTGACGTTTCTTCTTTTAGATTATTGGTTCTCAGATGTTACTTACTCAAGTGGATAATCAAAAGAGAAAAACAAGAGGAATTTATCAATCATAAATCTTTTTAATCCCGACAATCAGTTAAGTAAGCATCTTGTAAACAAAGAGTTAAATGGATAAAACCCCATTGTGCTCATCACATGTGTCTTTGGGATGATACACATTTTTTACACATATATTATATACAACAAGATTACATATGAAATCAGTGGCTTAGGAAAAATAATTCAAAGGTGGAATATTTAAATTCAAAGATCTATAATAATAACAAAAAAGACAATGATATTTCTTTTTGAGGATACCATGTATAGGTAAAGTGCATGGATATGTATTATGAATTGTAATCTTGAAAAAAAACATATCAAGTAATTAAAATGACCGCCCACAATAGATCGGACATTGTTTGATTTCTAATCATATACTTAACGTGATTTTTAAAAACTCATATAATTTAAAATGTTATACAACCATCTATACAGAACAATTGTGTATCTGGATACTTATTTTCTATGTGTGTTCTTTAGCCTTTCAAACATAACTATTCAGAAATATAATTAAAATTATTCTAATACCTGTATAAAAAGGTCAAATAACTAATATTATATATGCATGTATTATTAGGATTGGATAGTTGGAATTCA